TTTACTCGAACAAAGTGAACTATCTTCAGTTAATCTATCAGCAGTGTGGCCACAAGCAATGCACATCCCTGAAGATAATTCGGCCCCCCTGCTCATTTGCAGTAATGTCGCCTTATGTTTTATCCCGTTTAGCCATAAGTTTTCTTCTAAACAATGATGAGCAACGGTTACCACCAAGTTTCACAGATCCTGAATTAGAACCGTTATCATTTCCCGACCTATTCCCTGATGGTCGTGGACACTATGGTGACTTACACAACCGATCACTCGCCAATAATAAACTACCCAAGGGAGTGCAGCCCCCTAAAAAATTTGATTTCTAGTTGTTGTTCGAATTTGGCGATTCAAACGGCGATGATATATATTTATTTTTGATAGGCAAATTGATGTAAGACTAACAATATAATTGCAATCCACATATTAATACGGCACGGGAACAAAATTGTAATTCTCGTTTGCCAGTAGAACCGAGTCCCAACAACTTTTTATTGGCAATAGTCACTACTAATTGATAACAGCAGCATGCTGGTTTGGCACAATACTTTGAATACAACGATTAATTATATAGACGCGATTTATTAGTTTTTTATATACCATTGCTCAAATCTCTGTTCCGCGACATAATAAACACTGTAATGTTATGAATAACGATAAATCCAAAACCTTCACCCTTCCCGTTTAATCGTTCTTTCACTTTCATCTCAGTTATTTAATAAAACAAACGAAAAAAAAACAAACGAAAAAACCAAAATTGTTTACTAAAAAAACCAAAAAAAGTAAACACCATTTGTTTTACGAAAAACAAATTTGTGAAACAAAAAAAAAATAATTAAAACATGTTATGCCGCACAAGGATGACCATAGGGACCGCACTTTATTCCACTACTGATAATGCCGTCAGCGGCGACAAGTGGCGGATGTGAACAACCTGCGTTACTTTGAACATTAGTGGCCATTAAACAGTCACTAATACCATTAGTGACAGAGAACTGCCATCCAAGACAATCCGTAGCCATACACCCCTTACAACAGTCTTCGGCGGAGTTGATTCCAGGAATAAAAAAAAACTGTGCATCCACTACAAAATTGTCCCATCCTGGAGCATGGGGAGCCGAACAACATGGTAGCCTGCATTCAGTTTTTGTAAGCGTACACTTTTTAGTTTCCACACAATCGCCATCTCCAAAACCGTTACCAGCACTACAACTTTTTTTTATGAGAATTTCACTTTCACAATCACAAGTGAGAACGGGAGTGGGAAAAGCGGTGCAAGAGGTTGAGACCGTCGTTGTCGTCGTCTGTGTTATTGTTGTAGTTGAACATTTCAGAGCATCAGCAATGATACTCGATGCCAGCAATACCGATAGGTAAAAAAGAACAATCGAAGAAAGTTTGAGAGATTGTCCCTTCATTGCGAGTCAGGTTGTAACCGGATTAAAAAAATACGATTGTATTTTGTCGAAACGTAACGATAGCATATTTATGAGATTTTCCTCGTATTTTTAATACATGAATATATTTCGTAAAGTTGCACTGCGTGTATATTTGCAGGGTGCAGCAAAACTTCCACAAATGCGACGCCTTGGCATTTTGCATCTATGGGGGTTTGTATTACTTTCCGTCGGCTCAAAATAGAAAGTTGTCTCCTGTTGTTGCAAACGTATAGTATAGTAATGTACTTCCTGAACGCAAACTTGGTTTTATTCGTAACTACACTAATACAGTCGCAACTGTCTATTTGTATAACGTTCATTTGCATAAAGGAGCGTCGGGTCCCTTAAACCCACAAATTAAGTGGGTTTGACTGCGTATTTAATTAAATAGTAGATGTGAGACATGGCACTTGAATAGTCTGATCTGTGAGATGTGTGTACGAGATGACATTTATCATTCGTAAAGTCTATGTGATCTAACTTATACTGTACTTACTACAACTTACTATAAAGACGTCGTCTAGTCACCTTAATAACCAGCTTGTTGGCTTGACTTTTGGTCGTTTTTAAACATTCAATTTTGTCTCTAATTCTAATGTTTTATAAACCGATTTCATTCTAATAATTTGAGTGTAATAATTTCAATTTCGTCTTCAAGTCTAATGCTGCGTTATACACCGATTTTCGCTTTGTACACCTTTGATAGTTTTTAAAGCGTTCAATTTCGTCTCCAAGTCTAATGCTGCGTTATACACCGATTTTTGCTCTGTACACCTTTGATGTATTCAATATTTTGTTTCAATTTCATTCTAATGATTTTTTAAGTGTAATAATTTCAATTTTGTCTCCAAGTCTAACGCTGTATTATAAACCGATTTTTGTCCTGTACACCTTTAATAGTTCTTAAAGCGTTCAATTTCGTCTAACGCTGTTTCTATATATATTATTGTCTTATTTTAATTATAGCAACTTAAAAAACAACATCGAAAACAACACCAACAACTACAGAAATATTAATATAAACAACAAATACTGTTGCAACGACAAGAGTCCCCCAAACGTCAGCAGCACCAATCCTTTGGTGACGTGTAAATACTGTAACGGGTAAGATAATATCATCCTAGATCGAATCTTCAGATGCAGTCGTTATTCTTATTCCGATTTTTTTATTAGATTGGTGTTGTATTGCTTCAGTAAAGGCTTATTAAACAATTCGAGAAAATATATTAAGCATAGCCGTAAACATTGTAAACGACATGTTAAATTTTATTACCAGTCGTCAAGTACAATCTTATATAAATTAAAGATCTATAAACTAACGATACGTCGTTAAATTACAAAATCAAAAATATCTCAAGAACTGTCAAAGTTACAAGAATAAAATTTACATATTCTGTAAAAAAAAACAGTAACTACTATACCAAGTTTAATTGCCAGTCAGTATGAACAATACGTCGATCGTGTCGACTAATCTTGTAATTAGATTTATTCAAGAACCACGCGAGATACGCTTCTAAAACTTACTTTCACAAACCATAACTACAATTATAATCTATTCGTGTGTCAACTTTTATCACCATTGTGTAATTCAAAGATCAATAATCAATGTAAATGCCGCTTCCAATGTTTGATTTTGTAATTAAATTTACTAAACATCATACATAATAAACTATAGTGATTTTTCAACAGTAGATGAGCTAATATCACAGTTACAGAATATGTAAATTTCAAGAGCACAGCATCCATGGTTGTAGAAATATTTTATGAAAAAGCCCGTTAGTAGCACTTTTTTGGGAGAAAGTTCTTAGTCCTCACCCTTGAGTTAATACAGTGTGTTGAGAAAAAAAATGGTGGCAACAAAAAATTGTATATCTCAATGATTGCAAATGCAAATTAAACAAATTTAGGTTTATTTGAAAACTCATTAGGTACTTTATTTAATAGTAAAATTTAGTATAAAATTTTATTGACATCATGCAACAAAATAGCTTTGCATCTGCTTTGCATGAAGGAGACTACATTACGTGGGGGCTGAAAAGTTTTGCGTGTGGCTCCCTAGCTCGCGATTGCAACAGTTTAGCTAAAAGTTGGAATAATCATAAAATGCGCATACTTTCATGTAACAAATGAAAAAAAAAAAGTAAAAATAAATTCATTGTCTCATTACCGAGAAACCTTTTTTTTTGTAAAGCATAGTAAAACAACTGAAAAAAAATGACCCGTAAAAACCAACAATACTTTATTTTTGCTTCTTAGAAAAATGGCCGAAACGCGACTCAAATTTACAAAAAATTGGTAAATGTAGAAACGGAATAAGCATTGTCTACCAGCACAATTAGACGTTGGATTGTCATATTCAAAGACGAGTAAGAAGAAATTAAAGACAAAGGCCCGTTCTGGATGGCCTCGCGAAGCAGTGACGTCAGAAGAAATTGCCAAAACCGGGGATATTGTTAGCAATAACCCCGTACATTTCTATTAAAATTTTAGCCCAACTGATCGGAATTCATTTACTAGTTGTCGAGAAATTGATTCCTTACTAAAACAATTGACCGAAAATGAGTCAAGAGAACCAGCGATACTATATTTTCGTTTCTTGGAAGAATGGCCGCGATGCAACCAAAATCCATGAAGAATTGGTTAATGCAGAGGGGGAACATGCACTGTCTCTCAGTACAGTTAGACGTTGGGTTACTAAGTTCAAAGGCGGAAACGCAGGCCTCGTTCTGGACGTCCTCGCGAAGCAGTGACGCAAGAAAAAATTGCAAAGATCCAAGAACTTATAACTAACGACCCCCACATCACTACACAAATATTGGAGGATGAGATCGATATTTTCCATGATAGAATTGTTTACATTTTACATAATGAACTCAAGTCTGTGCGAAATGTATTTCCCACAAGCTTTCAGCGGACCATAAAGAAAAACGAGTGGAAATTTCGAGGCAATTGTTGGAAGTACTCGAAAAAGGCTATAATAACATTATTACTGGGGATAAAACGTGGATGTATTTCTTCACCGTTTCGAGCAAAGAAAGCAATAAGGTTTGGTTAGAAAAGGGAGAATAGACCGCAGATCGTTAGGACTGCGCAAAATCCGAAAAGAGAATGTTTTGCTTTTTATATACCGCAGACGGCGTAATAGCCAGAATTGTTGAGAAAGGCAAAACGGTTAATGGTAAACTTTATAGAAACCAAATTTTGCTTGAAGTTTTTTCGAATTTTATGGAAAAAGGGGGGAGAAATACCGTAAGAGATGTCATGCTGCGCCACACAAGTCGGCAGTCGTCACCGAATATCTCAGGGACTTCTTCCCCATCCTCCATATAGTCCAGATCTAGCTCCTTGTGACTTTTACTTATTCCCCAAAATCAAGAAAGAATTGGGCGGAAGAAGTTTCGATAATGTCGAAACTCGTCACGTGCCATTCAGGCAATCGTTGAGAATGTCCCTAAAGAGGAATATTACAAGTCATTTGATTCGTGGCGGGATCAGCTGAAACATGTATAGAGGTAGAGGGAGAGTACTTTGAAGGAATGTCATAATAATTTTGTAGGTTATTTATTGGATTAATCGAAATAATTTAGACGCGCAAGACTTTTCGACCACCCCACGTATTCTTGCGTAAGCTGCATATATTTCGTTGATACAAATACATTATTACTAGTTATAGGCAAAGTTCGATGATATTAAATCTGACACAGTAATAGTGAGCATTTGTTAATCACCGTATGACGATGTATACTGTATTCTATACCGTTTTGTAACTTTGCTCCCTTTAACTTTTCATTTGGTAAGAAAACAATGTTTAAAAAAGCAGGAACCATCGGGGAGGAGCGAACTGGTTAGCGAATTAATTTCAGATTTCAATAATATTAACCATTATTATACCTTCGTAATAATAATATCTCGTAACGAGTTCTTAACATGACAAGAATGATAGCAAAACTTGTGTAATGTAACACAAATGTTGAGATTAAAACTTGTTGAAAAGAATTTTCTAATTCAACCTGTTACTATGTCGTTAGCATCAGAGACTGTTAATAATCCAACCATTGTCAACTTGATCCAATCCAGTTATGTGGATGAATACAATAAACTT